TTACAAAGGTTGTAAAAAAGAAATAGTCAAGTATTGATGATACTCAACTAGAAGAGAAACTATTGACAATTTCAGTGACAAACCATCCAAAAAATAATAATACAATTAAATAGAAAAAGTCATGTCTGAATTACATTAATTCAATTTATTTAACTTTAAATTCAATCGTTTATTTTGAAAAAATGTATTAAATTCCAGAAAGTTACAGTAGTAAATTGAGGTAATTTGGTGTTCAAGAATTAAGAGTTAAAATTATTTGGCTGTTTCTTTGAAAATAATAAGAAAATACTGTACATACAGCATTTCAAATGTGTACTGTATTTAAAAGATATAAAATGTTTTCATTATTTATTTTCTAATTTATTATTAAATAATATTATTATTTAGTAACCAGCATACTTACATACAGTAGTTCTGATATCTTGATGTGAAAAGTTGCATCTAGCAAAATGATAGGAATACCACTATGAAAGTAGATCGAATGTTTAAGAGACAAAATCAACAGATTTGAAAGTTAGTTGAAGTAGCTATAGATAGAAATAACTCATCCACTTGGTCCAACCAAAATAACAAACACATTTTCTTTAGTCTATTGATAGGATGGATGACAGACTCTCAGGGTAATAAAAGATCTGTTCATACAAATAATTTTCTGTACTCAGTGCATTGCAGCATGAAAATCTCTAATGCACTGAAATAGGTCACTGCACATAGCACACACTCTCCTGCACTCAGGAAGTCCCTGCCCATACCCAACTACTGTATAAAGCAATTTAACTCTTTCCTTACATTAAACAGCTTATGACCATTTCAATTCCTAGACCAGGTGCTAAGATGTTGAAAATCCAGGGAAAAGCTGTACAGTATATTTTGAAAATGTTGAAAGGAGTGTCTCATTCCTGAAAAAAACAAACAAATGCTCACTCGTACCGATTAATCAGTTGTTTCAACAAGCTTATCAGTTTTCTAATTCTCTTAATATCACCTCTAGCATTAGCAGCAAGGTTGCTAAACATCAGACTTTTCAATTTTTAGGGATTTGTGCAGTGTCCACTTGGAGGTATCAAGGACATGGGAGGAAAAAATATCTGTTCAGAAGTAATTAATACAATTTGCAATGTGTTAAAATTCTTTTAGCAAATCATGTGAATGGTTACATGTGAGTCTAACATAAACTACTGTATATTACATGTATTGATCAGAAACAATATCCCCTGATATATTTTTCTAAATTCAGGAAAACATGTGATTGGAGGCTTCCTAATGATGCCTTATCATTTCCAATTGATCTGTAGATTTTTTTGTGGTTTCTTATTTCATGACAAACTTCTCAATAGGTTATGATCCCAGACACTGCAATGTACAGGCCATGGGTCACAGCAAAACAGCAAACTAACCCTTGATTGTTTAGGTATGCAAAATTAGAAATCTTGCACCCCTACTAGCAGAGTCATCACATTTCTGGATCTTAAAGCCCATTAATACTCCAAAGCCTTTGAGCTGTAAAGATGACACCTTTTTATGATCAAGCAAAAAATAAGCTTTAAGCAGTATTTCTAAAAAAATATTCAAACTAATTTTAGTTAGTCCAAACCATGTTAGTTGATTAAGATACGACATGTATTCTGTATATTATAACATACCTACAGTATTCATAATGAGAAAGAAACTTTTGATTCAGGATAGCTGACTACAGTATCTGTGGAAAAGTACAGTATGTTAATTTATCAGGACGCTCATTCAGTGTTTACGTTTGTAAATTTTACAGAAAGGAAGGACTTGCCCACCAATGGCTGTACTGCCAGATGGCTACTTTATCAATTCTTGGACAAATGTGGTATATTGTTTGTTTCTTTAAAGTTTCTTATTAATGTCTTCTATGTATTTCAAATAGGACATGTATTGTGAATATGGCCTAAATTAATGAATGTGTGTACCTGCCCAAAATACCAATGAGGAAGCTAATCAGCCAGTATGAAAAATATCAGTAGCTACTGTGGCACCTATTATGCAAATTATTTTATGTGATAGATAGATACTTTATTGATCCTGTGAGGGAAATTGCAGTGCAACAGCAGCTTAACACAGACAACACAGCCACAGTGTAACAAATTATATAATAATAGTACAATACATACAATACAATACAAGAGTTACTCACAGTCCGGACACACAAAGAACAGACTAGAACAGAACAGTACACAGAAAAATCGTATCACACATATGAATATAAATATAGATTTCAATATAGATATAGATATAAATATAGATGTAAATGTATTGCACAGGTCCCTGGCATATATTGCATACTGTATATTGGTATCTGTTTTCGTTTTCATTATGGGTCTGACAGATGTAAAAGAAAGAGCAGGGGCTATGAGTTATCCATTCATTCTTAGATAACAACACGTAAAACAAGATTTCTCAAGGAGTCTTTCCAGTGCAATTTCTTTGATCAATTACTAGCTTTCTGCTTCAAAGTCTCCAGTTCTGTATATAAACAAAGGTTTAACATCAGTCACAGACTTATCGGTTCCAGAGGGTGCCTGCTTTCCCAGTTTGGCATGAGTTTTAGACAGCCATTTTTTCCCACAGTATCCAACAGTTTCTTGCACTCATTGTTTCATCTTGCTACTGGCTTGTTTTCTTTGAGCACAGTATACTTTACTTACTGACCATTACTGCCTACACCAACTAAACTGAAACACTGCTAAAACAATCCTGAAACAGAGTACTGTATGTTGGTCGAGTGACGATCTCCAAATTATACAGTAGTTGTCAACTGCATATGCCTTGAGGCTTCATGCATACATTTTTGTGTCTCTCCAAGAATAACAGCTATGCTCCTGGCTGCCTATTAATGCTGGTATACTTGTTTTTTATGTTATGTTATAGCCATAAAAGGGGTAATCAATGTAATTCTACATTCTAATGTAACAATGTAACCGCCTTTACAATTTCTATATTTAGATTATTGCTTTGTATGTGGTGGCCTGTGGACATGCCTTTAAAGAGGATGTCATGGCTCGATAAAGCTTATTTCTTGTTCTTCTAAGAATGTGTGTCCATTTATTTTTCAATGATGGTTTAATAGTCAGTCTCTGAGCTATGTTACAGGTCAGTGCTTGCCTAATATACCTATCTTCCCTGGGTCCCTTGGCTCCACATATAAAGTCTATTCAGGGAACAGTGCTTCGAGCAGTTTAGCTGGAGAACAGCTCTCGCTTACAGTACAGCTGCAGTTCTCAAATGTGCCTCATTTAGCACATCTGTTTTATTTCTCTGTTTATCTCAACACACGAGTGACACTGAAAGATGTCTCTTTATTTATATCTTGTAACTTGTGCTGATAAATTGATTTGTGAAACTTTACATTCTTTCCTTTATCTCTTTGATGGTAGACTGCCTTTGTTTGAGGATTTTGGCCTATTATCACTCCTGCTGTTTTGGGAATCACAACATAAACCTTGAATGGACAAAAATTATTGCCTATTGCAACTATTGCCTGTCCATTGAAACACTGGGTGCAAGGTAGGATACACCTTGGATTGGACACCTGTCCATTGCAGGGCAGCCGACAATAACCAGTGGAATGAAGTTTGTTTGATGTAGTGTAGGAATGGCCTACTCTCTTTCTGAGTGCATATTATATTGTAGGAAAAAAGTAAATTAAGGGGAAAAAGGCATATAATAGTGCTTCAAAGGAACAAGTAAAAGGTTTATTCCATGCTGAAAAAAAGAAGAAAGAGAACACAACGTTTCGGCTGTGGAGCCTTCTTCAGGTGTTGAAGGCTAATAATAGTGCTTGCTACTCAAATACATTTACAAATATGAATGTAAAATTAAGACTTGCTTTCTGATGACCTGATTGGAAATGTAACATATGAACACGGGTAGCTAAACAAATCGAGGAATTCTCTGGTTTACAAAGCTCCCCATCAATACAAAGTAAGGAAAAATGATTAATGTACAGTACAATGCCAAGCATTACATTTTTTCAGGTTTCAGTCTTACATTGTAATATGCAGCACTTATTAATTAGACTGATCTTGCATTTTAATACATTACTTTTTTAATAAACTACTAAAATTGTCAGGAGCAGTTCTTTCCGGGCCCTATGCAGGCGACACGATCCAAAAGGTGAAGAAACAATAGGGAAAAATATCATGCAGGAGTCGGTCAGGAGACAGGGGGGCGTGTCCATGCAGTGCTAGTGTCCGGGGGGAGTGAATCCAGGGCGAACAATCCAAGGGTAAATCCAGAGGGGGAATCCAAGATGGGAGGCTTAGTCCAAGACCAGGGGATCCATCCGTAGTTAAAACCAGAACCGGGTCAGGACCGGCGGAGCAGGGAATCAGGACCAGGAAACTAAAACCATAACGGAGCCAGACGCGGCAGGACCCCGGGCTCTCACGACACGGAAATCAATGAGAAGCCCCGAGCAATCGCCTGCGTCTGGCTTTAAAGGTGGAACTAAAGAGGGGCTGGAATAAGGAACAGGTGTGGGGAATGGGACAGAACGAGGAAGGGCTGGAGCGCCCTTAAGAGGAGGAGTAACGATCGGGACAAAAATTGCACATTAATCATAGTGGTTTGTAGGTTTACGGCTGCTGACATGCAGCTTTTGGGACCAAAGTTCAGTTCTGGCCAGAGGCACCTCCTGTGTGATTTGCTTGTTTTCTTCCATCTACTTCAAAGCTTTCTCTTTCTGTATATATGCCAGCTAGGTTAATTTGGGTTCTCTAATTTGTGTGTGTCCTGCAATGTAATGGCAGGCTATCCAGTGTCTGTTCCCTCTATGCATCTTTTGTTTTCTACGGATAAGCCTTAGGTTGCCATGACCCTTGCTGCATATGCCTTACAAGGAATAAACAACTTTCTGATAACTTCTTTCTCTTATGAAAAGTGGAAATGAAAGAAAGTCAGAAGACAGGATTTGACTAGCTACTTCCTCTAAGCCCTTGTCATTGACCATTACCTTTTCTCACTCTCATCTACAGCTGTGTGGTGGATGAGATGGATTTTTCTGGGATGGAGCTGGATGAAGCTCTTAGGAAGTTTCAGGCACATATCCGGGTGCAAGGAGAGGCCCAGAAGGTTGAGAGGCTCATTGAAGCATTCAGGTAAGATCTTTGTGAGATAAGATAAAGAAAGTCCCCTAACCAGTGGTTTATTTTTCTGTTTTAGACTCTTCCTTTCAATTACAGTCCAGAAACAGCAGGTGCTTTTGAAATATTTCAGAAGGTGTGACGTGTGCATTCAAGTTCAGTGTTCAAGGGGACTTGTGATGGTTTAAATCAGCAGACACATTGTGTTATCCCAAATTACAAATGTGCTTTTGATCAAAACAACAGAAGTCAACGTAAATGGTAGTGCAATGTGATGAGGCATAGATCCAATAGGCACAACAGTAGGGACTTAAGTCATGGCTGCTTGGTAATTGGAATTTGCTACATAATGAGTCACAACTGCACTGATTTATATTCTAGGATATGTGAGGAAATGACTGATTGGAGGCATTAGTACCTGGAGAAAGGGCATTGCTTTGCATGATAACAGTGTATCTTCTTACCACAGAACACAGAGTAGAAATCTAGACAACTGAAGTAACATCAGTAGTTCAGGAGAATTAATTTAAGTAAAAGTGATAAAAGTGCAAGCCCAGATAATTTGTGTGGAAGAGTTCTGTCATCTTGTGTTGATCAGCTATGTGAAAATTGTATTCTGCTTTTTCAGATACCCTTAAATTTACCGATCATTCCCTCTCTGTGAAGGAAATCTTTTATAATTTCCAATCCAAAAACTGCCAGGCCAAGTGAAATGAACAGATGCAAAGCGACTTTTTCCCACATTTCTCCCAATGAAAAATCTGGAGACAATAGTGAAGCAGCAAGACATTATGAAGAATACACCTTATTGACCTCATGCAGTCAGCATATAGAGAAAGAAGGGAAGTAGAAGACACAATGCTCGCATTGTTAAACCTGGTCTAGAAGCATCTTTACCAGGCAAATAAGTGTGTAATAATCTTATTTGTCGATTGTTTCCTCTACCTTCAATACAATACAATAAAATACAGTACAACACAATGGACCAATCTGGTAAACACAGAAACTCTCAAAGAACGTCAAATTAAACAAGCTTCTATGGTGTCAGAGATGCCAGGATTTGTTATAGAGAAGTGTTCCTGGCCAAACAGGATCAGCCAGAAGTAAAGCATTAAAAATAAGTATTATTTAAGAATGAGAGGTAGACAAGAACAGAGAGAGAATTTAGGAGAACTTGAAAGTGAGAGTGTGAAGAACGGTATAGTGATTAAATTGCAGTATTAAGAGTACTGAAGAGAAGTGCAGTGATGTAAGAAGAGAATTAGTTCAGAGAAAATGAGAAAAATAGCACACAGGCACCATAGAGTAAGTTGGCAACTCTCTGTCTGGTGATTTGTTCAAGAGGAAGGGAGACCTGGGCTTCACTGTTGTATTAAGAACTGTATGCCTAGAGAAGATAAAGCATAAATGAAGAGAGTAAGTGCCCAGTGAAATGTAAAGAAAAAGTGAGGTAATGAAGAGATTGAGGAAGGGCATTGTGAAGTGACTCATAATGAATATACCATTGCCAGTGTAAATGACTTTCTATGAATAATAAAAATGTTTTTTTCTGAGTGAAGAGACCGGGAAACATCTAAAGGATTTGCTCAGCCTTCCCTGAAAGAAGACCACTTAAAGATCTAGGGTCCTGAGAGAAAGCAAAATACTAAGAATGACAAAAGGTCATGTGACACACAAGCGATGAATGGTGCAAGCAAGTGTTGTTAGAGAATGAAAGTTGGCAATGTCATGGGAATTTGCACATTTATTTCTCATATTATATACTTTAAAAATCCAAAAACCTTTGTGGCAATTTAGATGTACAGTACCATGCCTTTTTTACTTGTGGACGTAGCACAACGTTAACGCAAAATGTCCTGAGGTGCTATTAGGAAGGTGGTGATGTAAGTAGAAAGCATAATGAGTTTCTTTTCTTGATCCAGCATCTATAAATCATTGGGGTACGTGATTCTAAGTCTAAAGGGGATAGACAGATCTCAGTTTTATATTTCCTCCAGTGATCAGTGATAGCTTGAATATTATGAATATTTAGGACTGTATGTTTTTTTAATTTCATTTGTGTAACAGCCTTTATAGCCTTAATCGACAAACTGTAGATGGCTCTGTACTTGAGCTTCAATCAAAATTGAAAAACCTTGGGGTTATATTCGATTCTGGCTTAACATTCGACCCACATGTGCAGCATACTGTCAAAACATCTTTTTTTCACCTTAGAAATATCACAAGACTACTCCCTATGCTATCATTAACTGTGGCTGAAAAACTGATCAACACATTTGTATTCTCTCGAATTGACTACTGTAATGCTCTACTCGCAGTGTTATCAAAATCTACTCTGAACAAACTGCAGTATGTCCAACATTCAGCAGCCAGAATCCTGACCAGGTCTAGTGCAAGTGTTCACATTACTCCCGTCCTGGAGTCCTTGCACTGGCTTCCGGTCAAATTCCGTGTAGACTTTAAAATCCTCATGCTCACCTATAAGGCCCTGAATGGCTTGGCACCTCACTACCTGTCTGAACTATTATTGCCCTACTCCCCACCTCGCAACCTCCGCTCTTCAAATTCTGCCCTCCTTACTGTCCCCCAAGCCCGTCTACATTGTATGGGTGACAGGGCCTTCTCCTGTTACTGTATGTCCCCAAGCTCTGGAACTCTTTGCCCAAGGATATCAGAGAGTCACCTTCTCTTAACTCTTTCAAATCCAGACTCAAAACCCTCTTCTTCAGAAAAGTCTTTACTTAACTGGTTCCATTCTTCACCCCTCTGCTCTTCTTAGTACCACCATCCACAGTCTCCTCTATATATTGTAATTGTGTCTTATCTTATCTATCTTATCTTATTATTATGTCTTATTCTCCTTATTTATTGTTATACTATGCTTATTTATTGTTATCGTCATCCTGTAAAGTGCTTTGAGAAGCTACCTTTAAAGGCGCTATTTAAAATAAAGTTTATTATTGTTGTAACGCAACGGGGTTCAGGTGGGCGCCCTTGCCGAATTAGGTCAGCCCCGCACTGTCGGGGGCTCGAACCTGGGACTCCCGCGTCACTCAACAGGTACCCAGCCCGGTGAGCTAAAGAGAGAGCTATCTACAGCCCAGGGGCTGTGGTCTTGCTATTACAGGGAAGGGCGGTGACGTCACCGCTCTGGTAAGCCGGCTCTTACACAGTACCTGTCGGCCATATGCGTTACATTATTACAATATTCTTTTTGTTTTTGGTCAGCACAGTAAATAAATAAACCATTCATATTTTTCCCTGAGATGGCATTGAAAATCACAAAGAAAAGCCTTTTAAGAAGCCTCTTTATTTATTCTTGATGTCCTTGAAAGAGTCAGAAAAGACCAAAATACTGTACATTGTTTTATTTTTACATCATAAAGATTTTAAATTTAAAATAAGAATTTGTATGATTTCTTAGGTTTTATTGTTATTTGGCACAGAAATAACAATGGCGTGATTTATAGGGACATGTCATTGCTTATTTTTTTGTCTCTCCTTGAAAATAGTTGCTGTGCAGTTTAGTTTTAGGAAAGGAAACAGGATGTGATAATGCAGATTACTGCATTAATATTAATTGATCGCAGAGGATGTTTAAACATCCAGCTCTGATATCAAATATGGCTGTTTATGTTGTGAAGAGTGCTTTATGCATTGATAGGATGATAATTTTGTAGTTGATTCCTACACTCCTAATTAGAACAGATTTGTTTCTCTGGTTTGCACTGTATTTTCAGTATGAGAAGCTAGTCCAAATGAAGTGTACACATTTTTTAAAATTGATCTAAACATCAGTGTTCAAACTGAACATTGTTATGGGCAAAACACTTTTTAAGAAAAAAAAAACTAAAATCGATTGAAAGCATAAGTATTCACTACCTAAAGTACATTTTTATTGCAAGTACATTTGAAAGCAATTACAGTTCTGACTCTTTTAGGTTAAGTCTATACCAAGTTTGCACAGTGGAATTTTTCCTCATTTCCTTTGCATACATTCTCAATTTTTTTAAATAAATCTTTGTTTATTTAGCCACAAATCATTCTGTCACATCCACAAGAGAAACATGATACCACAAGCAAGGAAACAAACAGCTGAAAACGTTTGACCCACCTGTAGCCTGTAACCTGTAGCTAGATACAGTACAATCACTCTTAAATGTATGCATACTGTATATTTCTATTGTGGTCTAATATGAGTCTGTGTGTTGTGGTTGCAGATCAGATACAGTATTGTGCTCAACAATGGCAGAGTCTCTTTGGCTCTCCTCCAGTAGTTTTTGGTCAGCCATCTTCATCTTGGAACTATTCAGTACCACTTTTTCACTTTCAATAGTAGAGGAGAAATGAAGATGGTACAGTATATGCATCCAGAGTGACACTAGAGAGTCCCACTACAACTACAATAGTACTACTTTTATTGGAGACATGTGACAAGTTTTACTGAAATACTAGTTCATAGGCATTTGGCATATCCTATGGGTTGTTGTTGTGTGATATGACAAGGAGACTCTGATGACTCAGGCCCAGACAACCAAAATAGTTTTTGGTCACTTTTATACCACTTTCTACAGAATCCTTATCACAGTTTTATAATCACATAGCCCAGTTTCTTTACTTGTTTGTTTCTGCTGCTTGGGATTCTGAGAAGTATTTATATTAAGTCAGCTTTGTAATAATCTATTGCTTGCTTTCTTGTATTTTTTAAGTCATGTTTGTTTGTTATTCTTTTTAAATCATCAAAGACCAGGGAAATGGAGACTTTAACTGTACTGTAAGTTGGTTCAGCTAAGAAATTAATAGGATCAATTAGGTAATTAAAACATAATGCACAATGAGAGCCAAAAGGACCTGTGTTTTGGTTTTATTGTGTCTTTTTAACTTTAAGGCCAAATTTAAATCCAAATGGCATTTTTTTACACATAATATAACTCTGTAGGAATATTAGGATGAAACACAGAAACAGAAAGCAAGGTCATTTGAGAAAACAAATCATGACAGAAAGTCAGATAAAG